TATAGGATACTGTAAGACACCTACATAAAAGTTGACTGTACTTCTAGTATGAATTGGGTTAAAAGTTTCTAGCATTAATTCTTTTGCATTGTATAAGCAAATAAACATGTTTAATCTATTGATGGACGCGTCCTGGTAAATATTGATGTCCGTTGTGAGTTATAAGTGTTCACTGTTTGAATATACTTTAAGTGCTAAAGTGTTTATCTTTACAATAAACTCTGCAAAGGTTACATTGATAGAGTTCAATAAAATAAGTAAAAGTATTCTGATGATGTTTAATATTTAATTATTTTTCATTATTTGAGATATTCATAATTTATTTGTCATATTAATTTTATATTAATAAGAATCGCTTAGTTATTTATAAAAGAAATAGCAAGGAGGTCGTAGAGTGCAAATAAGACATACATAGTACATCCAACTATTACGAAACATATTTCATTAAAAATGATGGCGAATAATCACAAGGCAACAAGTCATCTAGTCAGACCATCTATTTGCTCGGAAGATATAATAGCGAGAAAGTATACATAACAACAAATATCATCGAACTATTGCTAATGAGAAGTGTTCAAAAGAAAAACCTAATAACCTTTGCCTAACGCAGGAATCGAAACCCTAATGTAGGTACTTGTACTTTTAAGACTAACGAGGTATTTTATAGTAATTCGACATCGTTATCAATAAATCTAGGTATATTTTGCAAGCACAGATTGTTATCTGTAGACTAACTGCAGATAATATATGATTCCAATAAATTTTCCTGTATGTTATATTTGTAATATCGATGAGATAATAACGCCCGCTCAAATAGTTATCACTTTATTCACAGTACAACAATACATAACCTATTTTTTGTTGTAATTAATAACCGGACACATGAACTTTTTATAGATTTACAATAGCGTTTAGTCATATCTAAAAAAACTTATGATCCATCGACCAAGGGACACAATGAAATGATGACACTGCTAAAACATTGGCAATCACGTGCTTTGTGGATTCTTATTGATTGCAGAATTCTGTTCTTTAAATTATTGGACAACTTCAAATATTTAAAGTGCTTTTGATTGAAGTTAAGTGATGCCACTACTTGGTCTTATTAACAACTCTTCTCTACTTGTTTTAAGTATTCGAGCTGTAGTCACAAATTACAAAATGGTCTCTATTTTTGACCAAGTTTAAAGAGGAGGAACTACTCAATTCGGACGAATTTAATTTCGGTTTGTATGTTTCGCGATATATTCGCTCGTTGTGTTTTTCGTAAATTTTTAAAGAATAGTGGCTGTATTATTAACAGAAAGGCCCTGAGAGTAGGATAATTATTCTCTTAGTGTTTTTAAATCAGTATGCCTCTGTCACCAAAAATGTATTATATGAATGCCCTTACATGCTAATTGAAATAATAATAATAATAAAATGCTTTATTTGTCACCACAACCCAAATTACAAATTATTTTTATAACTTTAAATATTATTTAAATTTCATGGTTTAGCACAAAGTAGGTGATATAAAAGGCTGTGGGTCGCTGGTGCCTGTGATAGGTAAAAACACGTGTTACGGGCCACCACTCACCAGGTCTCCCCCTGGATATTTATATAAGCTGCTTATATTGGTCATTTTGCGCTCAAGATAAATGGTACATAATAATGTAGTGAGTACAAGAATAAGGTAATATTTTTAGTAACTAGAAGATAGTAACTAGATATACAAAATTGGATGTGGGAATGCAACTTCAGTGCGTCTGCTAGCAAAAAATTAAATTGATATCAATATAACTGTCAGTACTTGAGACGCGCAAATATGTATGGAAAACGATAAAATAAATAACATAATTTATTCCTTGTACGTTATTCTGTCACATGATGGTTTTATGATTTCAGTTTTTTTTAGGACTAGTAATGTAGACGTTTTTTTCTCTTTTGTACGTTATTGACACTGATTTACACTAGATATTATAGATGTCATTTTTGCTTTTAATTCAGTAAAATTAAATTTACTAACGACGAATCTCTTTTTATTAAAGTTCTAGCGACTCGCCCTCGCTTCGCTCAGGTTTGTCCCTAGATACGTTTTGACGCTTTAGTATGTAATAGATTTTTTTTTCAAATTTTTGAGAATTTCTTATTCTGCTACATATATATATATATATATATATATATATATATATATATATATATATATATAATTGAAATATCATTTATGTATATTGTATATTATGTTGGATCATTTCCTACATAAGGATTAAAGTATCATTGGAAATCGCATGTCACAAGTACCGTCTATTGTAGGTCTTCCATAAAACAACTTAATCCCCATAGTCTACTCTATTATCATACATCTTTTTATATCCATTTCGCGGCATTATACAATTATTATATTTATATTAATATGTCCGTGGTATCATTAATTTCTTGTAAGGTTTCCTATTGGTTTTAATTTAAATGACATGTTTAATATTCATTTGAACTTTTAGTATTCCATTGAATTTGGAAATTCTGTAGAATTTCTGTTAGTGGAATTAAATGAGTATATGAAACTTTATATACTTGCTAGTATTCAATAAAAAAAGGTAAATAAATTTTGATATAATATATTTTTTTTCAAATTAAAATTAGTCAATACGTAACATTTTCTGTACTTTGTTGAAAGCATAGTCATCTGTTTATCTCTCTCTATATGAATAAAAATAAATGCTCGTATGTTTGTCCTCTATACGTTTTTAAACCATTGATCAGATTGTGATGAAACTCTGGTGGTATTCTGAATACGCCTGCACAGGCTCCTGGCGTAAAAAAATAATTTTTCTTAATACATTTGTCTTTTACGCGTTCCTAAACTATTCAAGCGTATGGAAATATCTAATCAAGACGAGGGTAAGTCGCCAGTATCTTATAAAAAATCATTTTTACAGTATATATGGCAGTGTAATGTAAAACGTTCATATCTGTTTAGGGTAGCGCTCTTAAAGCAATCATGAATTTATTTTATGTAATCACTTTATATCGTAATTTACTTTAGATTATTAATTTCTAATTAGATATATTTATCCCAGTGAAGTAGAGAAAACTGCATTATTTTTACCAAGACTAGACTGAAGATATACATTACATGCTGTGTAGAATCTAGCCCAATACATCTATATTACAATCAACTAAGTCAAAACAAATATTCGCTCAATAAGAGAATTAAGCCCACATTCTCTTGCTCTAAGATCAAGGCTCAATCATACGAGTATGTAATCATAAATATATAACTGAAGTAAATAAAACTAAACGGTTCTATATAGTTTTATTTATGTAGACTATTTGTGATGGTTTCTCCCACACATGCTAATTATACTAACGATGAATCTGCATTCGCGAGTTTTTTGAATGTCTGAATATGTTTTTGTTATTTTCACCTCAATATTTAAATGATGATATGATCATAGTGCCTACTTAATCAAAGTGATGCTAATAAGTTACAGTAAACACATGTTGATTTTTTTTATTATAACCTATAGGTACCTGCATATAATAAAAGTGTAACTGATTGCCGTCTGTACATTGAAGATATTTGAGAAAAACTATTATTGGCGGTCTTTATTAACATAATAGAACCCAAAACAATGACTTTTGGAGTTTTTTGTCTGTGGGCGCTAATTTCGGAAACGGTCGATTTTGGTGCGGTTTTCACTAATGTATTGTGGTAAGCTCCACTTAACATTTAGTATTACAATAATATGTTTTATTTCAATCGGTTCTATAAATAAAAAAGTTATGTCAATTTAAAGAATGACGATACAAAATAACAGTATAATAATATGTAATTCTTTTTATTTAGCTTGTTCCTATGTTACTTTATTAATAAATTTTTATTATAATTTACTATCATAGGAGAGCAGTTTTTTAAATTTAATTTAAAAAAATGTTCTATTCCCTACATTTGCCGTGCGTTATAATGGAAATAAAATGATTAATTATTAAAATATATGTATAATGCAAATATTTAAAATTTCTATCAATACATTTAATTAACTTTTAATTACAATAAATTTTCTCATAGAGCAGAAGCCGGTACAACCACACGTAAAATCTTAAAATGAAAACAGCATATTCATGTTTACGTATTAAATTTATATTTTCATCTATACATGTAATAAAATTGTAACTAAGCTAATCTGTACATTAAATATTTTTTGGAAAATCTTATTGATATTATTATCGATACAGAGACCGAATCTATAGTTTTCAGAATTTTTGTCTGTCTGTCTGTCTGTCTGTCTGTCTGTCTGTCTGTCTGTTACCGCATCACAGAAAAACCACTGGATGGATTTTGATGAAATTTGGTATGGTGATAGCTGGTTATCCGGGTCAATATATAGGATACTTTTTACTGCGGGAAAATATCTAATTTTGGAGAAAAAAATACAAAAACTGCATTGTAAAAGTATACTAAGATGTAAAACCTAAGAATTTCGTTTTTGGTCATCTGAACGCGGGTGGAGCCGCGGGCAATGCTAGTATTGAATAAAATAAGTGATAATTATCGCATAATAACTGAATCGGTTTTAATTATTCATAGATCATATTATACGTTCGCTGATGTAGAGACACGTTAATTATAAGACACGGAATGCGAGCGAGTTCAGGAAGTTCACCTTATCGCGTTATGTCAACGAGGATCTATTAAAATTGTCCACGTGACATACGTTGATCAAAAATAGCCCATTGTATAAAGTAATACAATATTATAAGTACTAACAATATACATATATGTATTCATAATTTACATTTTTTAATTTGTTGTTTATAAATATATTAAATAAGCCAGTACTTGGAAAATGAATTATTATATTATTATTGAAGTATGAAATATTAATAAAGTCAAATGCAGATTTTTTAGAGATGAGAAATTTTAATGCAATAATATGTAAGTACTTAAATATAAATTAAAATTAATTATATTTTAAAATATAACTTATATTATTTTCGAAAATATTAATAATACTTACAAAACTACTGATTTCATCAATCTGTGAGTGTAGAACATCGAAATTTTCTTCACCGACAAGATGATTCTTTAGTCTTATTGGATGAGGAACTTTTACCCGAAGATTTGGTTTCATTTGTTTTTGACTCTCCGATGTCAACTGCGAACCACTGAAGGGGCACGACGCATGTCCGTTGATTTGTTCTGTCAATATCATCTTGCCGAAATCCGTTTCTGATTTACAGTTTGCTTCTATTATATTAAAATTACTTTCCATTTTAACTAAAGTTGTATCAGATTTAACAAAACTCTTTTCACAATCCCTGTCTTTCATACAACACTTAAATATACTGGACATTTATTTGAAATCGCGCACACGCACTGAAATTGCACCTTAGAAGCGTACTGACGAAAAGATTTACTGCAGCATTATATATATGTAATCGGGAGCAGATCTAAGAGCGAACTGAACGCGGTTGTCTCGGCAACCGGTCCGACAGTTCTAAGCACTAAACAACGTCCGCAAAAAATATCAACAACCCACAATGCGTCATACGTCGCTACTGTATTATAATAAATATTAATATACATGATAGAGCCACCGTGGCTCTAATTAAGTGGACTTTCCAATTACCCTACCTATCTACCTCTCTTCCCGTTACTACATCCGTTTTAGTTTACGGTTTTCGTTTATCTCACTGAAGGTCAGTCGCAGCTAGCCTTAAATGTCTATAAAATTACAAAATTTCTTAAAAAATGTTTTTCCTTAATATATTATTTTTTACTATTTAAATATATTATGCAGAAACAAGAAAAGAAGCGCTTTTTTCTAATTGGAAACTTATTTTTTTTTTTGGTTTCTCATATTATTTACGTACGTATGCGTAATACGTCATAATAAAGTTAATTAAATTGTATAATATTTTTAAGCCTTATATGTTTAAGTAAGTAAATTATACCAAATCCTAAAAAACACCAGCAGCCTGGTCAACATAGACGCTTGCGCATATGAAGATGACTTGCCTACATACAAGTACATGTATCTCCTACATATTGCATTTTGCCTATAATTGTGCATATTTTATTAAAAAATTGTTAATATTATTTCCTGTTAAAGTATTAATTATTTACTTAATGTAGACCAACTCGATATTTATTTATAGGTTTCGAAGGTCGAAACTATAATATGATTAGTTGAGTATGAGGTAAACATTATCTAGAAGTTAATTTTATTACCTTTAAACCGTTTTATACACTGCTTAGCCATAACACCATACTATGTAGCTCATGAAATGGAATACGATATAGGTACTTTTGTGTGAAAGAAATATTTAATCGAACTAGCTCAAAATAAAGCTACACGACAGTAAAACTGTTGGAATCAAAAGTTTCATGGAAACAAAACAGAGCTTGCGAAATCATTCTTATTTATTTCTTTGAGATTTTTAATATTTTCACCAGAGACCTTTAGTCTCTCCCGTGACCATGATTGCTGTAAAGCATTCGAAACGTCGCGAACCAAATACCTATCAAAATAAATCTGTGAAAAAATCTGGAAAGATAGTTTTATTTTTAAATATAAAAAGGAGTTAAAGTTATTCATGAAAAAATAATATTTTTGACATGGAGCATGTTTCATATTTAAAATAGCACATTTTACGATTATTTAGGATACCATGTAAAATATATTATCAACTTCAAATTTATTCTCAACTTGCGAATTTCTTAAACTGATCAAAATAATAACTATCACACTGAAAAATATATATTATAAGTATATTTTAGATTAGGGGCATCCCTTTTCAAAGTTTGCAAACATGCATAAGTCAACGTGCACCTATGTACGTACCTATGAGTCAATGATGAGTAAAACCTTTGAAAGATAATTATAAACACATTAATTAGAGGAATAATTCTTAATAATATTCTTAGATAAAATATAACATAATATGTAATATAGTATTATGTATAGTTAAAGTCGATTTATTATAAAATGGGATGATAACAAAAAACACCTATCACCTTAGTATCTAATACATATTTACCCATATATAAATTAATATTTAGAAATAAAAATTATTCAATTACACTATACTACTCCTATTCTTTATTTATTGAGATATATTTAAAATGAAATAAGAAATCTATGACCCTATTACATATTTTGAATTTTCTAGTATTAAAGAATTCAATGTAAAAACATTCAAAAAGCAATTTGATTTTAAAAAAAACGTGAGTGTGTAGGTACTTTATATACGCACGTAAGAAGTATACTTCTTTTGTGTAACAGAACACAGAACTCTTTGCTTGTAAAATGCAGCTAACTTCATCATGTCCCTTTCAGCTAACTTCATCATGTCGCTTTTTAGCTGTTGGTGTGCGCGTGCATCGTAAAAATTTTACTCTCATATTTTTTTCAAACGCGCCATAAGAAGTATAACTTCAAAAAAGATTTCTGTTTTATACATTTCACTTACTTTGCAAACATAATTTTTTGATGAACTCACTATTCAATATCGTTTTAAAATACAATGAGCATTTTACACGGTATTTAATAGATTCCGGTTTTGCTCTATTAACTTCAGTTATTGGCTTGTATTATAAAATAAAGTGGTAAAATACGTTTTTATTGTTAATTAAACTTTTCATTTTATTTTCTAGTGTAATATAATAAAAATATTTTAATTTTCTTTATCTTCAAGAAAAATGTGTGTGTTCTTCAAAAAATAGTAAAATATTGAAACACTGTGATTTGCATTTTGTTATGGAAGGCTGGGGTCTCCTAATACAGACAAAAATTTAAAATGGAACCTCATCCACAAACGTTGTCAACAATCTCTCTAAGCAAATAAAATATTTTTACTATATTTATTTAGTTATGTTGAGGCATTTTTTATAACCAGGCTAAATAATAATATTATATGTATTTTGTACTACAAAAAATATTAAATGATTCTACAAGTACTTTTAAGCCTTCAAGCCGATAATCGATTGTAAGTTGATAGATGAATCAATGGGTAATTTCCGGATTTTAGTACTATGTTTAGTCGTCACTATATTCTCTGTAATTAGGAAAATAATACTTATGACAGACCGTCTACGTGAGGTTTGTCACTCGTCAGACATACCCATATTTTACAGTTTTACCTATTGAGTTTTCCGGAAATTGTACATTATATACTTATTTAACAAAAAAAATCAAACACATTTACGGGAAAAGAGATTGCCAAAAAATATGTTTTGGCGTTATTTTTCCTATAAGGTAAGGTTTTTCCAAGATAAGATAGCAAAATGAAAATTCACGACTTTGAACGTTTCCCGATTTTTTTTATGATAACCACTTTTTTAAGTAAAAAATGAGTGTAATATTGAAATAGCCTATTCTGGTTTCCTTTAACAAGAGTTACGATTCAGTAATCGAGGTAGAATGTAGAGCAGATCCCAATAATAGATGATTATTGGGATTTTCTCATTGGTTTTCTTACTAGATAGAGATAGAGAGATCGAGATTTCGCATTAAATCTATACAAATTATGTCAAATTTCTACCTTTAGTTAGAAATACTAAAGAACAGTAACAGAAAGTACGACAACTTAGTAGGCAAGTTACTGGGATCGACCGATAGTCGTCCGTATAATAATTGGGATTGGATCCATGCACATATTTAATTTCTATTACGTAAGTTATTTCAATGATACTATATTATATTATATAACCTTACTACTTGATGCGATTATATTATTAATAATTACTTAATTAACTTAAGAGTATTATGTTTATATTTACGATTTGTATTTTAAAACTTATGGATTTTCATCCTTAAATAATTTATTTTTTCCGCAAAAATGTATACATATCTAGGATCTACACTATTTTAGAATAATAGATAAGTATATATATTTATAAAATATATCTCTTTCTTATATTTTCTTTAATACCTTTTCATTCACCTCATAAATTGTTAAATATTGTATTGTAAAAATATTGATTTTCAATCGATATTAGATTTTCGCATTAAATCACTTGCCACGACTTTTTTAATTACCTAATATGCCCGAAAATCTACATTGCATGATATTATAAATTTTTAAATATAAAGAAAATCGATATTTACATAGTAATAATAAATGATATTTCTTACACTACACTTTGACAACACGTTTGGCTCAGTTTGTAGTGCCCTACTTGCTGTGCCAGCGGTCACGGGTTCGAGTCCCGCTGGGGGCATTGATTTGTGTAATGAGCACGAATGTTTCTACTCCAGGCATGGGTGCTTATATTTATAATGTGTATGTATTTAAAGTTATATACATACATATATATATAGTGTTTTAATCATCTGGTATCCATAGCTTGGTGCTTTGTAGGTAACTTGAAAACAAAATATATTCATGGTCTGTACATTTTTACTCTATTCTCTCTCTACACAATTTTCACATTATTTTATAGTGCACAGTAAATTCCAAACTTGCAAAAGATCGTTTTCTTGAAAATAATTTGAGTTTATAAATAGTTGAAGTTAAGGCATCATTGTCGTTATCGTTACAAAAATATAATACCTACATACCTACACCTGACTTAAGTATTATCTTATTTATTCAAATCGGTTAAGGTAGGCTTTAAACTTAATAAGGTTAAAAGGTGTATATTTTTACACGTTTAAAAGTTGCTTTAGATTTAAGATTTACATTTAGTCCTGCCAACATTTTCCGTTAATATACTCGTGTTGCTGTTATTCAATTAAAGTAATATATCATTCACTTAATAGTTGGAATTAATTATATTGTAGACAATTTTCCACTTACATATACATATACTTACATTGTTGTCACTGTAATAATATACTTGCGCTTGAATGTAAATATGAGCTTTATTTTTACATAAAATCTATAGTTATAGATAAAGTACTAAGTAATTAGTATTACGTATAAAAATTTGTTTAATTTTTTTATTTATTATTTTTTCGCTCCAGTTTTTTACTTCGTACGTAAATCAAACCTGCGATATCCGACAAAGCAGTTTCATTTTGTTTAATTTAAACAGAAAAATAATTTTGACTCTACTAAGTATTTTTAGCGCAATAAAAGCCAAAGCTCATTGAGAATAATAATTGTAATAGAGTTGGGTGGGATATATTAAATATATATTATTCCAGTGGGATGATAATTCGATATGATCATAATAAGAGCAAAGGAAGAAATACAATACTGCCTTATTGGCCACTACTACAAGACAGAATTATATTATAATATATACTAATATAATAAGGCATACTCTTTAATGTTTACTTTTTGTTCGAACGCACTAATCTCTGGAATCATTCAGATATAAAAAAATCTTTATTTGCGTTTAATAGTC